TAAAGCTCTCCTGAACCTTTTATACGCCATGTGCGGAGTTAATAATGCATCATGAACCAAGGGTTCATGACAGCTACCAAGAGGTCAACTTTACGTGAACACAATGAACAACACAGAACGCTAGAGCCTTGGAAAGGAGAATCTGTACAAAATATGATCACACCTGGATCACCAACTTCCCAAACGCTCTCTCCTAGCGTCTAGATGGTGGAGTGAGGTCGCACCCTTTAAGATGAAGTAAAGGAATCCCGATGCTTTGTAATGCGATGTCCGTCTGAATCAGCATTTGTGTGGACAAATCATGCGATCGCGATGGAATCACACGGCTACGAGAAAAGGTTGACATGCTGGAGCCGCTTGATTTGGAGAGTTCTTATTAACAACCAGATTATTCAAGACACTAATTTCAAATTTACGTCTTGAACCATATTGATTATGCGGAATAACGAAGAGGGCTTGTCGAAAATANCTCGATCGGTCGTGGAGGCCGCGCTAGTTATGGGTGCCGCCGTGGACGGTCCCGAGCAGATCGCGCGATCAGGAGCGACCAGTCGCGCGACCAGTCGTGGACTATGAAAGCAGTCTATGATCAATTTACTGTTTCCCGAGTGGATTGTTTTTAGAGAGTGTAGGTATGAAAACCAACAGTGGCCACTTGAAAAGCAATAAAAATTCCACCAAGTCCGTATTGTGAGCAAAATTTTTGGAAAGTTGTTAGTTATTGGAAATATAGTGTCGGTGCAGATGAGTTCTCCTCTTTCATGAGCTCTTGGTTGAAACTCTTGAAGAATTGGTGAGACGGTCTCCTTTTCATAGACATTATAAGCAGCAATACAGAGAGAAAGAGTTTCTGAAATTCTTACGCCTCAAAGGGGTAGAGTATGGCAGAACCATTTACATATAAATTTGTCCATGTTCAGAACGATTTATCGTGTGAGCTTGCACAATGGAAATTTTAATGCAATGACGCAACACTCTAAAAGTTGTATTATAGCTGGCATAATCATTTGAACAACTCTCCTTCAATTACTCTGTCTCATAGTGATAGCAAGTGATAGCAAAGCAGAAATTCGAAAGTTTTCGGTGATGTCAAGTGAGTGGTGGCAAGGGAAAGTTTTCACCTCCGATGTAAGTCCAAATAGAGAATATCGAAAGATTTCAGAATGCTACTGACGGGATTGGTAATCTAGACTGCTAAATGACTTTCTTAAAAAAGTTGTGAGAGTTCGAAGTTTGCTAGTAGAAAGTGTCGGTTGAAGATAGTTGTCCTCGACAACAAAAATCGCCGAGTGGCGTAGTGGAGGTAGTGCTGTCGCTCTTTAGCAAGATGCTGATTTGCTCGATTCAGAGCTTCAATAACTTTTCCTAATATTAGACTTTCCATCACTTTCAGCATTGGGACACGCGCAATAGAAATAGCTCTAGAACAAATACGCAAAAAAGGGCCAATATTTATGAAACAATTTAAAAATACGTTGCAAATATGTTGCAACGAGGTAATGTTCACAAATTTCCCATCTAGTACACTGCGCAATAAAAGTACAGGGTGTCCCAAAATTATGGGCGCCAATTCATGGCAATTTATTGAGAGTATCTCAGCTAAGAATGACAATGCCATACACGTTTTTTTATATGCACGTTTGCTGACATTATGCGCTACAACATGTCACTAACATTTCAAAATATTCAATAAGCACGGATAGAAGCTCAAAGTTTGCTCTCGAACTCGTCGCATTTTGCACACAGGTATCCTTTTACAATCTTCCCAGCCGTTCTTAAGTTTTGCTTTCTAGGACTTCAAATAGGGGCTGCAAACCCGATAGGTACTCTTCTAATCAGGGATCACACGGAGGATTCAAATGAGTTATGATCTGGGAAGCAAGATGGCTATTTCTCTTTTCTAATGGAGTGGGGCAGCCAGCGGCCCCACAAATCCCGGGCGAGTTTGGCTCTGTGAGCTGAAGTACCTTCCTGCTGAGAAGACTACAAGCTTTTCCAGGGAGAGAAGTCGGACAGTGCTTCATTAGGTCCATAAGTAGGCCCTTCGAGTACAAGCCTTTGTCAGCTCTCACACCGGCACCAAGCTAACTACGGGCCAATGGCTCACTCAAAAGGCATCACTTTGTTGCTCTTGTGGCAACTTTTTGTGAGACACGATATTCATAGTCAGAACGCGATCTTTTATTTGTTGAGGGCTGGTTTTACAAGGNGGCAGTGGAGCCTTTGCTAGACAATCACCCACCGGCAACTCCGATGAGTCCTGCTCTTTTGCCTTTTTTGATGAGTTATACAGAATCACGATCGACTCGCAAACGGGCCATTTTAGTAGTCCTATATTTACAATTATCCTTTCTACTACTTCCTGGTTTGCCTCTCATTGAATCTTCTTGTCTGTATTTCTGCTCTGCCTTGGCCGTGAGCGACCGTGTCGATCACTGCTCTGCGCGCCTAATTGCCTGTTTATTCTGCTGACACTGTTCTGCCAGAATACCAAATTCTGGGTTCGCTTATATATTCTTATTCGGCTCCGTTCTTCTCATCGAATTGTGATACTGAGTTGCACCCTAGTGGCAGGGGAACCGATTTGAACTTCAATTGCCACCAATCGAGGTGATGTTTTTCTGTTGGCAGTTATGGACCAATTGTTATTGAGTGTGCTTTTGACCATCGATCGCCGTCGTCAGACCTTCTAATTTGTGAGCTTTCACGTGACAGAAAGCGATGAATTTTTTCTTCTCACTGCCCCTTCATTAGGTGCTGTTTATCCAGATTTCATTCTGACTTTCTGTCGTATCTAAATTTAAGGGCCGTAAAAGTGGTCTGGTCGACATGGGATCGNGGGATAAACTCCGAGCTCACAAACAAGTGGCTAGAGAGTACTCCAACAAATCCGTCGAATCTGCGAACGCCCCCGATCGCGAGTGCTAATTCTGCTGTTACTCCCGCNGGTCTGGTCGACATGGGATCGCCCCAGAGTTCTGAGCAAGAAAAGATGCTTATGTTGGCCGTCGAGCAACTGATGTCAGATGAATCGATGCCGCCATATTTAAAAACAATTGTGGGTTACCTTCTTGATGTTAAGGAAAAGATTGAGCTTTTAGCTACTGAGAACAAAGAGCTTGCTGCTGAAAACCAAAAACTGCGCGATGAGAACGCTAATTTGTGCCGTTCATTATCTGTGGCCTCCAAACCTCCACCTCACGTTGATCTTACAAATCCTTCTGCTCGCGTTTCTGAAGTTGTCAGTGATTCTGATAGTTCTTGTTGTGAATCTAAAGAATTTGCTCGTTCTCTTGTGATTATCGGTGTTCCTGAATCCTTTGAATTTTTGGTTTCAAATCGCCTTCCTCATGATTGGAATTGTATAAGAATGCTCTTTAATTACCTCCAAATCGAATGTATTCCTATGTCGGTCTACAGAATGGGTAGACTATCTCCTCATCGGCCCCGACTCTTGGAAGTAGTCTTCTCAGCCACGAAGTTTAGAGACGAAGCCCTGCGTCGTGCCAACAAACTCAAGTTTTCACAGTTGGTACATTCATGCGGCCTTCTCTGCCCAAGGCGGAGAGGGATAAACTCCGAGCTCACAAACAAGTGGCTAGAGAGAACTCCAACAGACCCGTCGAATCTGCGAACACCCCCGATCGCGAGTGCTAATTCTGCTGTTACTCCCGCTTCTGTTCTGAATAATTGTGTGGTGTCGGATGGTGGTTTGTCTGGTTGTAATAGCCATGTTTTAAAGGCACAGTTCACGATAATTTTGAGGTGCCCGTTTTTATTCGAAAATCGAAGTATGGATTGGGAATAGTTCATCGGTATTGAAGAAAGCGAGAGGATTCGCCGATTTTCAGAAAAATATGGCTTTCCAGAATAGGGAAAAAGAGTTGGACGAGATTGCCATGAAGGAAATAATATGGAAGGGGTACTCGGACGAGATTCCAGTAAATGCAAACGCACAGAGAGCTGACTACATCAAGCCAGAACTATTCAGAAATGTCTTTCACTGTCGCTATGGGTCATGACAAGTTGTTTGAATTTCCTACATGGTTCCCCTGTGATCAGCGCAGTCTCTACAATGCTGGTGAAACTCGACCGAGGATGCACACGGGCCAATCTTTGAGCTTTTATAAATTCCTAGCTAGGCCGTTTCCCGTCCCAATAGTGCTAGATGTGGTATACACGGGGACCTCAATTTCATCCTGTGGGGAATCTCAGAAACCTTTTATCGTGAACTGTGCCTTTAAACACATAGCAACTCCGCGGAGGTGGGCGACTAGTTCCAACTGTTTTCCAAGCAACATTAGGTCTCTCTCTAAAAACGCTTCCTCACTTATTTTTCTTCTATCAAACGTTTGCTATGACCTCGCAGCAGTTCTATTCCAGTACTCTATGCATGTTGCAAGAAAATCTACTCGTGCAACTAATTAATAGGGAATGGATTACTTCTACCTTAGAAGTTTCTGAACTTCGGGGCCCATAATTCTGGGACACTCTGTATGTGGACACCTCATTATTTTGGTTCACGTGCCTTGCCAGTTAATTTTGAACTATGAACCTTCTGCTATTCGAATCTTAGATGCGAGGGCTCACAACAAGAGGCGGTCAACTCTTTACTATGTAAGGAAAGACGATTATAACATTGTGTTGTTGTTCTTTGGTCTATCTAAGGTATCTTCTGCCGTCTCTGTAGTTTTGGTGAGTTCTTTCTTGTTCATGTCCCTCCACTTCCCCTTCGAAGCCTCTCGCGGTCGCTTCATATATGCCTAGGATTTCATAGCCTCCCTTACTAGGTGATTTTGTGGTTTTATCAGTACGCGTCCGTACCATCGTAGACGCTGCTCCCTTATATTCAGCTGGACAGGAGCTATTTCCATGGCCACCTTGGTGTCTTCATTTCTGATCTGGTCCATTCGCGTCCAACCTGCGGTTGGACGCGAGTGGACCAGATCAGAAACGGACTCATCTCAGTATCTTCATTTCAGCTGGGTGCATTTGCTTTCATGCTTGCTATTCACGGGCCATCACTCGCTCTCGTAAGGCACCGTTGGCACTCACCAGCGCGCGACACATCTTCCATGACGCCGTGGACTTCATTCACTTCCAGGGAACGTTCTATGATTCGCTAAATTGGAAAGAAGACGAGCAGTATACGATAAAAGCACCATTTATCAACTTACGAAGTAATCAAGGGTTTGTGGTGGTGTGTGCCAGGGAACACATGAAACATCTAGAGCTGGAAGGAATTTCTTTGGAAACTGTTAGTGTTAAAGAATGTTCGAGACTTTTACGCCCGTTTGGTCTAAGTCAACTGGACTGAACGTCAGCATCTGGACTGAACACATGAAACATCTAGAGCTGGAAGGAATTTCTTTGGAAACTGTTAGTTCACTAGGAGGACCACACGAATACGCACCAGACGATCTACATCGACCTACCTCTCACCATTTCTCACTCTGGTTCTTGGCTATTGATTCTTTCCCCATCGAGACCACCGGTTTGTTACTATTCCGCTCATGTTACTTGTTATTCTTTCACGTTCACTTATTTATTCTTTGTTTATTTTCATTCCATCTAAAATAAGCCGGAGCTAAAAGAACTTCCATGTCGTCACCATCAGTTTTCCAGTTGGGTTTCATCGGAGGAAATTATACCTAATCATTAAATCATAGACTGGTCTGCACAATGTCTATTCATAATTACTTGATCGGAGAGACACAAGGCCAGCATAAAAGGAGTTTGATTGGGAACACTTTGCTGTACCATTTGTGATGGTTTAGTGAAGCCTTTACATTCGGCTTTTAATATTTACAACTCGCTAAACTTGTTTCTAGTATAAATGTGTTACCCATCGCTCTTTACTTCCATTAAAGTCTTATATTTGTTCTCTAGGCTATATTTTGTTATTGTCATAGAAGGTCCCTTATTATTACTGTAGAACGATTCCATTAACAAAATCGAAAATTCACCATATTAGGATATTGCTGGGAATGACTTATATGTTTAGTTCAGTTTTCTTCGAAAGCAACTGTAGTCATCTCATGTCGAACTGGGAACTTCGCCGTGGAAAAGTATTCGCGATTACAAGTTCTGGATTTCTGAGAAGCTTGACCGAGTATTTGAGACTTCTCAGTTCCCTAACACGTTCTATTTAATTATTTCTGTTTTGCACAACTCCCGGGAGGAAAAAGATGCGGGAAGAGGCCATCTTTTTGGATTCAGATTCGTCAATTGACACTGCTTTGTAGGGGTGTCTCCTAGCTAGCTATTTAAGAGATGAATCCCATCACTTGAATGAGTACGCCTATGAAAATATCGACACTGATCAACAAGGTTCTCGGAATTAGCGCATATTTAGCAACCATTTTTGCGATAGATCAGTAATAAGCAGGTAACCTACTTGTGCAAATGGGCAAATGAAAATGTCAAATGTATCCAAACGGGCTTTGTGAGAACCGCTTATTAGAAGGTATTGACATGTGCTAAAAGAGCTACAGAACCACCTATGTGAGATCTATTCTAGCATTAGGCGGTCTCCCTACCAAAACAAGAAACAAAAAGTAGAGACACTATGTGTTGTGGTGCCAAATCAGAAATTTCTCCATGTTTTTCCAACAACATACGAGTAATTTGGACATCGAACGTCAGCTGAACAGAACTGGGAGCTTTAAATAAGCAGGTATCCTGCTTGTGCAAATGGGCAAACCTGCTTAAATAAGTGGTATAAAATCTTGTTAGTCACTAAACCTGCTAACAGAGAAGTCGTGCCGAATCATCTGTGCTATAGCAGTTCACGACGTCGATCTGTCGCATACTGGCATAGTCTTTAATCAGTATAGCTCTCAGTGCTCTTCCGTTGGAAAAGCCGTTGCCGTTTGGGAATAAGGCCAAGAGAGTAAACGTACGGTCACAGCAACCACCACTTGAGAATACCGATTAACTTGTAACCTGCCGTATTGAGTGACTGGATAACTGAGGTGATGGATGGAACTTACCACTGTCGGATCAAAGCTCAGTTCTCTCGGCATTAGTCCATTTTAGGGTCGTGGTCATGTTGTCGATAATCTCTAAGAAATCGTCTTGCCTAGTAGTATCGATCCTCAACTTTGCTCGAGAGTCATTGTAACAATCATCGTCTAAGTGTGGGCTCTAAGAAGAGGAGCTTCTGACTCCACAATGAATTTCAATATCATATTTGTTTGCTGTTTCTTTTTACAGACTCTTACGATGAATCACCGTCTTTGAGCTTTGGCAGAATTTCATTGTGAATGCTACTGATATATTCTGTCTCCTCCTAGTTCAAGCCATTCTTGGCACCAATAGGCTTTCACGGTAAATATTTTCAATATGTTTCCCGCATTCATATTCTTTTCAAGAAATAGCATTGAGATGAAATAGTTTTCGAATATTTTCAATATATTCCCCACATTCATGTCCTATTCAAGAAATAGCATTAAGATGAAAGAGTTTTTGAAATCATTTTCCCTCGGTCGCTGTATATAAAACCCGTAGGAAGGTGAACATCACTTAGTCCCAATCAATATTAACTTTTAACTGATCAGAATTCATTTTTTTCAGCAGGGTTCGCAGAGTTCCACCGTCATGCGACTGCTTTTCCTGGTCCTTTGCATTTTAATGGTCATCGTCACCTCCGCACAGGTAAAAATAGCGCTTATAATGATTCTGTCCGGGTTTTCACCATTCGTACAAGTCTTTCAACCGAGCCAACTGAAGCTCTTATCGCAAATCCTTCCTGCTCTGAAAACAGAACCATATTTGAGGAATTTAAACCGGTCGTACTCTCAGACAACCCTTCACCTCTGCTCTTACTATTTGATTTGAAGATTTGAGAAGTAAACGCGAAAACATTGTCCGAAAAGTTGAATCAGTTCTACGTCTCCGTTTTCTTTCCAGAAGTGCAAGGACCAATACGCGTTGTGTATATATGTAAAGAGATTTTGCAAGTCAAAGAATTACAAGAATTACACGGATTATATGACAAAGCACTGTAGAAAGACATGTGGTTACTGTCGAGTTTGAGTGATGTCATAAATTTTGTTAATGTTCTGTTGAAAAAAGCATCCCCATTAAATTCACAAAGTGAATGCGGCGCAGATGGAAGAGACTACGAAATCACCTCAGACCCGAGCACCTTTCTCATCTACAGTTCAGCGACAAGGTGTCTGAGTCGAACCAGAGATGGGAAACCAACAAATCGAGAAACAATGCGGTCCTTTACAAAGGATGGTGCACACGACGGGTGTGGTTATCATATCGCCATTATAGTGATCTGTGTATCCATCAAATCATAGTTATCCCCATCAGAGTCCGGTTCCTAGTTTTACCTACTGCCTGAAGTCAAAGTAAAAGAAGTATGTGCTTATCGTAATTTTGTCTGCCCAAGCTCGACCAGCTGGGGAGGAGTTCTCTCATGGAACAAGCTCTGTGCAGCCGATATACCTGTCGATCCAACGGTGAGAAGTCGGACAGAGACAGTTCACGATAAAAATGGCTTATGAGGTACCTCTCTAGCGTGAATTTGTGGCCACTTCGTATACCATATGTGGCGCTTTCGTGTCGGAGAAGAGCCTAGATAGGGCCTTATAAAGGCTCAAAGATTGCCCCGTGTGTATCGTCGGACGAGTTTCCCCTGCATTGTAGAGGCTGCATCGATCACAAGGAATCCCATGTCCAAAGTTCAAACAACCTGCCATGACCAATTGCGACAGTGGAAGGCAGTTGTACAGTTCTGGCTTGATGAAGTCAGTACTTTGCGCAATAGCAACAACTGAAATCTCGTCCGCATACCCAATCCACGTTTTTTACGTCATAGTGACCTCACACAACCTCTATTTCCTTACTTTAAAAGAGCCCTATTGCAAATTTTCTCGCTTTCTTAACTGCCGATGAACAATTCCCAACTTATACTTCCGCTTTTCAAGTTAAAAGGGGTGAACTCAAAATTATCGTGAACTGTACTTTTAAACAAGTATTAGAAGTTGAGTTGGAAGTGAAGTTGTAAAGAAGAGTGAGATTCGTAGGGAAGGCTGAAAAGAAATGCAATTTTCTTCTAATGAAGTGGGGTTCTGGCTACATGATGTTCTGAGATTTTGCATTTGCAAGGACAGTAAACGGCACTAAGGAGGGCAGTTCAGCGAAAAGAGCAAGAAGGCAGAACGAAACGATGACATTGTGCCTAATTATGGTACACCAACGCACAGAGTCTGCTACTTCGAGGAGCAGAAAGGGGTGGTGAGCAAATGGGCGACATTAAGAATAGCTTTCTAGTCGGTGTTCCGAGATTTGTGGGATGTAGTTGACTCGTGATTTTCGGTTGTGCTCATGGCACATTTTATGGAATTGTGCTTTGCTTTGTTCGAGTAGAAATGTATATCCTCCCAAAGAACAAAGGTAAGAAACGGGCCAGAATGCTGTTATAGATTACTCGATGTTCCATGTGCTTGGGATGCTCTATCTCATGTTGTCGACGACTAACTCGATAGCGAGAGGACTTAGTCAAGGGGATAACCTTGAAGGAAGTCCATCCTGTGATTTTTATTGTGGTCAGATGGAACTTTTCCGACTTGTTAATCTGTGTGTTTGGTTGTCTTATGGGTAGAATTTCCCAGATTAGCATTTCGTGACGCTGTTGTTGGAACGATAGCGATTGATGACGCATTCCACCGGATCGCGAACATATAAGTTGCGATTTTCCGATTTTACCTAGGTATGTGGTCTAAGCGTAGATAGATAGGCTGATTTACACAATTCCCATAAGTAAGCGTCCAGACGATGGAAGACCGTTGGTACAACCAACTCTCCCGTTCGTCTCCGTGCAATAAATTATGAAGGCGATGGATGTTGATGGAGCTGGACATTGCCAGAAGTTGACTTCGGGGGAGTCCACTTCGAATTGATGTCAATGGGCATTAAGTAACATCCCATAGCAGTAAAATACGTGCACTGAATGTAATGAAGGCAGTGTAGAGTGCATTGAATTAAGGCGGTGGTTTTAATTGTCTGTACAAGGTTGGTTTAATTTTTTGTTTATCTTCCAGGACCCATTGTGTTGATTTCTAAGAATAGAACCTACTTATTCTTCGTGAGCACGATCTGCTGATGGTTTGAAAGCAGTGGATTTATTTGAATGAGCTGCGAGCGTTGTTCAGATTCGGAAACAAAGATTTTCGATTGCATCCATGGTGCTTGCGTCAGCATTAGCAGCATGAACGCAGGTTTGAATTCGCCTATGCAAAACGTAATATTAGGGCTATAGTGAGTGTTAAAAAGTATTAACTGGCGAGTAATTGCTCTTCAGTGTTATCGAACTCGAGCGTAAAGCTATAGTATCTTACTTTTACATATTTTGTGTTTTTTCGCTCATATTTTTGCTTTCTGTTTCCTTATGTATTTGATTTTTCAATTTCTTCTCTCGTTTCCCCAATGTGGCTAATGATTACATCGTTAAAACGTATGAACCTTGCTAAATGCCCACTAACCCTAAATTTATCAACCACGGCCACCTCTGGCTTGCTACAGGAATGGAAATTCATTACAAGAACCCTATATTCAGTACAAGTTCCTACAGTAACCTAAGGGTGGAATAGAATACAATGGACGCCGAGCTTTACGGAAGTGCAGTAGGGTCGAAATTGTCGCGTCACGGCGAGAGAGACGCCGCGCACGAAGGGATGTAACAGAATGCAGCAGCGAGTAAGAAATACAAGAACAAGAGACTAAAATTAAAATTATGCCAAAAATAATAATCGCATATCGACTGAGCTGTATGAAAAATGCTGGAATTGTTATAACGAGGCGAATGGTCCGCGACTGTCACGCGCGGCGAATCGATCACAAGAGGCCGATCCTACTGCCCGTCTCCCAAGTTTTACAGGCATAATATTTCATTCCACGGCATCACCTTGTTCTAATATATAAATCCTAGACCTGTCACATTTATGACGCATTGAAATTTTCGGAGAAGGGCACTGGAGAGCGGTTCGGAGTTGCTGGGCTGTTGTGAGGTCATTATGAAACAAATGGGTCATTTTTAAGGTGAACTCGACTCGGAACTGAAGTCAGGCTTCATTGGATGGGAATAATTGTCTATTTCATTATATCCACCTTACTGTAGATCCTGGACGCATTGTTTTTCCTGTAGATCAAGAGATATCTAACTCCCATGAAAAACTTTTGCTTAGGTCCAAATCCTTATTGACAGCAATAACACTGTAG